TTTTTATGTGAACTAAATCTGTTATATATTGAATTAAAGAATAATAATTAGTTATTTTTAGTGGGCTTTACGCTAGAATTCTACAATAAGTCTGTCTAATACATCGGAATGAAAATAAAAATTATAAAAAAAATCTTCATTTTGTTAAATATTTATTTCAAATAGCAATCAAATGAAATATAAGGTTGACAAGTCAATCGTATAAATTAATGAAAACAAATCAAAGAAGTTCATGGGTATCAGATGAAAGCAAAGAGTAGACCATAATTGAAAATGATACTGATATAAATACATTAAAAAATGTCTGAAGAAGAAGAAAAAGAAATACTCTGTAGAACAAAAGACAGTTTCATTTGATGAGAAGAAAATCTAATGAATTCAAAGTTAATTTCATTAATCAAATCATTATGTTTCTGTGTCTATTCACTTATGAAACTTACAATTCCTACACCAATTATATTGATTGTGAATGATTCTGTTACATAGTCAGACGTTGCTGCCACAACCGACATATACCTCGATCGAGCTTGAAGAATAACGTTTGTTCTGTAGTGGACTAGACTATCGTCGTTGTTATTTAATGTTAATAAATTTTCAGATGGAGAAAAAGGATTGAAAGCATTATTGTATATTAGTGTCTATACACTTGAATTTGACCACTCGATGAAAACCCATAATAATCAGTAGTGAACACATTGATTTCAATTATTTCATAGTAGATGCATTGCTCGTACTAGTAAAACATATAAAAAAATATTGAACTAGAAGTAGTCAGAACTGATAAGTACTGCGAATGCACATATGATACGTTGGCTAGTCAAATAAAAATAAACAGATAAATGATTCTAAATTAACTTTATAGAAAATATGTAGAATTCTGTTCCATGACCTTCCAATAGTTATTAACGTTATTGTCCTATTTATGGTAATTATTTTAATATAAAAGGAGAGAAAGAATTAACAATCATGGAATAAAAAAGATTTTTCATATTTTAAAAATAAAGTGATCAATAAAGACAATAATTAACGATCTATCAAGTTTTGAAAATTCTATCAGTAAACAAGTTCTAATAAAATGGACTGTATCAAGTAGCTAATGGTTTCATATGGAGAAATTCAAAGACTAAATACTATTTTTGAAGCAAAATTCTTCATCAGTAATAAGTCACTCGATTATGTGAAGATTTTCTACATTGATGAATATTTCATTTATAATTTCTCTCAACTATATTTGAGTACAATATCGATATAATGTGTGCACTTCAAAAACATGCTTCTTTTATGATTGTTTCATTTGATAAAAAAAAAAGTAATCTGAAAAACGTTATGTACTTACTGATTTTATTCATTTGCAAAAAACTGACTGATGCTGAGCCAGTTGCTATGATTGTGAATGACTCCATAACATTTGGCATAAATGTAGTCACAACAAAAATAAACGTCTTCAGAGGTTGAAGGAATCCTGTTATCATGAGTCGCTCATCAAGAGAAAAGTAATCTTCTAACAGTAAATTATCATATGGCAAAACAGAATCAAAATTATCTTTGTATAAATATATTAGCATGTTAATGCTGTCATTGCACTGGATAGTATAAAATCCAACAATGGACACATTGATTTGAAGAGCTTTATAGTGGAATGAGTCGTCCGAAAATGGGTTCATACGGGAGTAGAATCGACTGGAGTTAGTCAAGGATGATGAGTATTGCGATTTTACAAGTGTTGAATTATCTAATTAAAGAAAAGTAAACATATCAATCTGTTTAACTTATGCAAAGCGAAAATTTAGAGACATTATTTCAAGTTTGTTTTCATTATCACATAACAATTACTACTATCAACCGCCTCATTATTGCACTACTCATATTATAGTATACAGATAAAATCACTGTGAGTAAGTGCGATCGATCTGGAGTGATGAGCACACCACCTATCTTGCAATGAATTGATAGAGAAAATCTATAATCTTCAATGATTTCTTGTCTTTTGTATATGGTATTTTAAGTTTTAGTCACTTCTCATTCACTTAGGGATGTAAAATTGGTGAAAGAAAGAAAGTTATATTTATTTCACATTAGTATTAGTTAATGGATTTCAATTCAACATACAGTTGCAATTGAATTATGAAAATAAATAACACGAAATAGTACTGCAGTATTACATTGCTGTAAAATTCGTACCTGCCTGTAGTCTATTTGCAAAAATAAATTATAGTCAAGAGTTGGAAATGGTGTAAAACAGCCTGTTGAGCGTACATGTTCCACAGTAAAAACCATCTGCATTCATATAATGACTCGAAGTAGTCTCCGGTGAGATTGAAAATAGCTTATAAAGATTGATGACTATGATTTGTTGGCGAAGAGCTGTTAGTGTTTACTAGACTTTTAAAGAATGTGAAACATATTCGTTTGAATCAAATAAATAATTTTAGGTCTGAAATTATTTCTGCAAACAGGTCATATATTCATGATAAAGTTTTCAGTGTTCTAAAGAAAATGTACGTCTTTCTCGTCAGATATATATATATTTCTAATGAAATGCACCTTTAGACGTGAAAATCAAAAAATCATTCAAGATTTTTATAACTTTGATGTCATAAACATGGAAAACATCACTTTTCCGATGATGAAATCCTTACTAATTGTAATGGATTGAAATTTACTGATTCAATGATGATGTTGATCAAACGAACGCAATCAATTTTACAATGAGTCAAATTCATCGAATCAAGTTTATGAAAATGTTTGTTTTATTGAATGTAATGCATATAAATAAAAAATGAATAGTTCTTTCATTATGGAAATCACTAAAATCTGTTAAGTTTCTGTGAACCTTTTGGACATATTATGATTGTAATTTTCAATTCAAAATTATATTGCTAAATTTTTCGACAACATCATGCTCTCGATAATTTCACTAGTAAATTAGTCATAATCTCGTTAATAATAGAACATCCGCTCGTATCCTTTCAGATTTCTTGTACTCTCATAGAAACTTATTCGAAGTGGCGGCGTCAGGATTTTTCTCTGGAGTGAGTCAATCCATCCACTTTGGAAACATTGAAAAACCAATAAGTACATCTTTCGTGAGACCAATTGCACGTGTTCACTCTATTTCATCAGAAACAGTTCAGAGTGTCGAACAACATTTTCAGCACTGATCATGACACAGATTAGACTATATTTCACAAGTTAATACTAACTGTAGTTCTGGGCACAAAAGTACAACTGCTTTGAGTTTTTTCGCTCGATCGTTTCAACTCTCGTATAAGCCGTCTGAAGATCAACCATTTTCATTGCATGATCTACATTAAACCTAGATAATCCAGTAACCATGCTCAGGGGTTGAAATTGTATATCGATGTTTTTGTTCGTTGATAAATTACGTTTAAAATAGTTGTGAATAATAACAGGCTTCACTATTAGTTAGCTGAGAAGTAAACGTTGTTCTGGAAATACAATCTTTCATAAACACTAGAAAATTTCATACTCCTTGCTCTATTTTATTATGATGATATTGGGGTGCAATGACATTTGGAAATATCGCTCATTTTATTACAACATGCGGTGTCGATCAATGATGGTTTAGTAATGATGCTAATCAACAGTATACAGTCCAAACTAGTACCTAACGAACATTTGACGACTAATTTCGGAACAATTTGCTTCGGTTCATTATTTGAAGCTTCAGTCAAAGATTTATTCGGCTACCTTCCCGTTATAGAAGCCTCCTCCAGAAGAATCAATGCGAAAGATGTATTAGAAACCTTCTTCGTTTTAAAAACTTCTTGAAATTTTCATCATAAACTTTTCAAAATTCAAGATCTAAAGGTAAGAATTTGTTTGATTTTCTCATTTATGAGCATAAAAATCTTGAAATCTCCTAGAAAGTCGTTTGAACAACTCTTAAAAACACTGAAAAATCCCTAAAACTCTTTGAATTTTTTTTTATTTAATAATAATAATGATTTAACAGAAATATATAACATTATTGTTAAAATTTGATAGAAAGAAACAGAAATATCGTTTTTCAAACTTTTTGTTCTATTTTATTTCATATTGACGTATAAGTGTTCATTACCGAGATATAGAATGAGGTTGTTACAAAAATAGAGAATTTTACATAGAACAAAATAAGAACAAAAGCCTTGTAAACATTACACGAACTTAATTCAATTTTAATTAATTCTTCGTCGTGTAGTGTGTACAAGGTCATAAAGAATAGAAATCAATTATAAATACCTCTATTAAATATGAAAAGAGATAAATAAATGTCTCTCTTTTTCTTTGTTCTTATTTTGTTCAATGGAAAATTTTTCTGTTTTTGTAACAATCTCATCTTATATCTAGGTGATGAAGATTTATACTTCGAAGCGTCGATATGAAATAAAATAATATGAAAATTTTGAAAAAAGAAATTATCTGTTTCTTTCTCATCAAATTTAAACAACAATGTTATAAGCTTCTGTAAAATTATTATTATTTTCAAAGCTATTTTCCATCTTCAACTATTGAAAATTTTTAGGACTTGATAGAAATCTCATTCGAAAATATTGGATGGTGGACAGTTTAGAAGTCTCCAGGGGCTTCTAAACTGAGGGGAGTGGGGTGTTAACATATGAAAGACTACGTTGAATTAGGAAGAAGAATCAGGAAAAACAATGCAATGGTTTCAATGAAATTCTATTTGATGGTTTGTTTCATTATGAGCAGTTTGAAAAGCGAGCGCAAAACATATTATGGAAAACAAAATTTTTAAGAAATTGAATAAAATGATAGAAACCACACGTGTATGATTTGAATTGTTCATGAGTCATTTACGTTCTTTTTCCAGACGGAATTTTGGAACATCTTGTATATATAACTTCAATGCTTGTTTAAACGTTTCATATGACTTGATGGAGGATTACATCTTATCTTATAATAGGAATAAGTAAGAAATAGTTTTTCAAAAACTAAATTAATTATTGATTATATATATTTATTTTATATATGAATATTTATAACCAAGTTGAAAATTTTTCTTCTTCTTCATCATTATCTGATAGAGTAAGTTCAGATTCGATTAAATTATAATTTGTTTTCCAATCATCAACACGTTCATTAGATTTCTTGATAGTTTCAAGATCTGTATCAATAAAACGACGTTTATCGTCTATATAATCAGATTTATCATCTTCAAATGAACTTCCAGTTGGAGTTTTGTCTTCATCTTCTTCTTCTTTTTTAATATAAAAAAAAAACCTGTCAATCTATTGATATTTAAATAAAAATAAATCTTACCTTGTTGATCAACAGCTGCTGGTGTTCTTAATAAAGTCATTTTTCGAGAAGTATCATTAGGAGGAGTGATCTTTTTCTAATAAAATAAACAATAATTAAATGAATAGTAAAATTAAAAAAATGTTTAATTTACCTTCGAAGATGTATTTGATGTTTGAGGTAAGATGACATTCTGATTTAATTGAGAAGATGAATGATTGACAGAACTAGGGATTGATGATTGTCGTTGAGGATTTGTAGGTACTTGAGATAAATTTGTTGACTGAATACAAAAAATAGAGATGTTGAGTTCGTAAATCTCGATTTGACAATATATTATCGTAGATTAAAATATTTAGGATATATCTTTAATTATAGAGTTTTATAGAAAATACATGGATGAAATTTGGAAGACAGTAAAAAATAATCTACAAGCCTTTCGATTAGTTTTCAAGATGACCATATATTTTTGCTTCAAAATAGTGAAACATAGCATGTCGGAAATTTAAAATTCCTTAGCTGTTATTTGTACTGCAATAGTTGGAATAAATTTTTCATATCTATCATCAATAAAATGCATTTTCTTACGACTATCACTAGTTTGTTGTCTGATGAAGTCTAATCATTCAACAAACAAACCTAGAGATTATTGAATGAATGCCATATCGAACTTTATCAATACAAGCTATAGAAAAATGGAAAAAATAGTACATGACAATGTTATTACAGGTTCTCATTCGTAATAAAAACTTTACAATTCAAACTTTGTAGTTCTGTAGTATTAAGTATATAAAATCATCTACTGAAGCTTGAAAGATTTTGCTCTTGTTGAACACGAGAACGATGACTTTTAAAATTACTTCAAACCTTCTGTGGCATTCCTTAATAGCAAAAAGAACTTAAGCTTTTACTAAATTATTTTAGAGACTTAATCCGAAGTCAAAGATTTTTTTTTACCGATCAAAATGAGTTTTTCCAGAGAGTAAACATCCGTTTTTTTTTTGTGAGAGGTTCATACAAGCTCTCTCAAAATTGAAAAGAGCAAAATCGTTATCTTATCAAGAATTGTTGTTTTTCTTATGTGAAATTATACGTCAAATCAACTTGTTGTGACTCAAGTCGAACACTGGTGTAAAAAAACAAACTTTTTTCTGTCAGGACTGACCACAATTAAGGACGAAATGAACATATTTAAAAGTGTATCTCTCTTGTAAAAAGCTGACCTTTGCTATAATTATTCTACAGATTTTGAGCACGCACAAAACAATTCTATTACTGAACAATAATAATTTAAAAAGAAATATGATGACGGCAATTATTAAAAACACTCACCGAATTGATATCTTGAGATGAATTGCTGCAAGTTTCTTTATTGACATATTTATCAAAAATAATTTGTGCCAATTTTGCATCAAAATTGGATGAGTTTATCGGTATATTCTGTGTTGCTAAACTCTATATTTATGTCAAAAAGAATAAAATGAGAAAGAAATGAAATCATTTACTAATTAATTTACTTTTTTAAATTGTTGTAAATTTGTTTTAAGAACTTCTTCTGTTTTGTGTATTAATAAACTTTTTAAATCATTCTCATATGCTACAGTTGGTTTTATATGTGAACCTAAAGAAACTTTCTTTTTTAGTGATTTCTTTTATAATCAAACCAAAGGTTTCAAATGAAATAATCATAAACATGTTATTGAATATAAAACAATCGACTAGAGAAATAACACCCATACAAAAACTGAAAACTATCAAGTTTAACAGGTTTAGGACACTTGCTCATGAAACTGATTACTAGGAGTTCCTCGATAAAATGACTCAGAGAAAAAAACCATACACAATACTATCATGTAAAATAGATTTTTGGATTATCATTTAAGGATACCCTCCATCTTTTGTATCACTTCTTGTTTTGTGCAAGAATACGACATATTGGAATCATAGCTTTGTTATTGACAATGGTGGGGCTTATATTCGACGAAAAAATTTTAAAAGCTGGTCTTCAGGGATTTTTAAAGGAGTCTTTCAAACACATAGGACCTACTTACGACTCTAGGCTTACTTAGTCCGCTCAGGCTGAAATTTTCTCTGGCGATGTCTGAAACAAAGTTCTTTAAGCTTTTTGAAATATATTTCTCAGATTTTGTCCCAAATACCTCCAGAAATAATTTCAGTCTGATTTGATGCGAAGATGTTGCCAAAAGTCGCTAATGTTCTGCTTTAAAAATTTTTCCTCGAACATTAATTCCATAATTCTCGATTATCTAGTTATGGTAAAGATTCGAGCTTGACAAGTTGTAGTTTCGCGAACAGCCAGATGTGGTCCAAAAGATGGAGTACTCTTAATATGCATCTATTTATAAGCGTTGATTAAGCTTGATGCTAATTAAATAAAAATTTAAACACATGTAAGATCTCAAGTAAAAGTTGTGATAGTTTTTACGGATATTATCATTTAGGAGATCATGTTGGTTGTTGTCTTTCTAAATTCTAAAATTTGAATGAGAAATCTTATTGTTTTTACATATACTTGTTCAACTAGTCACATTCTTAAGCTATTGATATTATCTCTAGGAAACAACTACTAGAGTGAAATAATGAATCAGTCAAAAAACTTCAAATAAAATACTTATGAGATAAGCACTCGTGGTACTCAGCTGCATTTTAATTTCTTTATATCTCATTCAATAGAATATATTGAGATAGGAAAAAGTCTAAATGGTATTAGGCTCATGGTCAATTAGTCAAGAGTTATGATCATTTATTCATTTTCTGGTCTATTCATAGATATTTACCGAAAAATAAAATTACGACATATTGGTCTGAAATTATGTTGAAGAAAAAAAATCTAATAATCTTCCTAATATCTAGAAATTTTCGAACAAAATACTGATTTTTTAAGTGAATATGATTTTGGAGACATGTCTATGACACATGACCAGATTTTTTAAATTCAGTATTTTGGCTGAAAATTTCTGGATATTCTAAGGTTGATATGATCCTTCCTTGGACAAAGTTTTTGGCTGATATTTTCGAATTTGATTTCTTTTACAGAGGCAATAACGTCCAAATTATTCTTGATAAGAGCTTTCCTGTAATCAGCTCAAAATTTTAAAGTTTTCAGACAACACTAATAGTGATAAGCGTGACTGATGTGATCAATTCTCTAGTTACGACAAAATTTCAATATAACTTTATAAATAATATGTTTTTATTTTGTGTAACTCTAAATTCGGACTTTTTCCTACTTTTCTTTTCATTCCATTTTACAGATATTTGTCGATAGCTTTATGTTTTCTATTAAGAATTAAATTATACTCGTCGTCATCGAAAATCTTGTTGCTATTAAATTAGATTCATAAAAATGGATAATTAGAGTAACGCCCAACTAACAACAAGAATACATTGACGAAGATTTATAAAGTTGTATCTTTTAACGATTACATATGATCTATCATTAAGAATAACAAATTCAGCTAATGTATTTGTGATTTTGTGTTTTCATACGTAAAGAACATGATACGATTTTTTTTTATTGAATCAAATATCTCGTTATTTTATTGTCACTTTTTGTCTTTCAGTAACAAAGAACGTCAACAACGTGAACTCATCTTCAAATATAACAGATCAAATCAAAACGAAAGTCTCTTTTTTCTATATGCAATACACTTACGTTTAAGTGGATTCATCAGAGCAATTCGAGCACGATTAATTTCTGATGCAATTTGCCGTTGACGATCTTTGAGATTTTCTCTATCTGTAAATATTCAAAAAGAACTTGAAAAGAAAAAAAAAGAATCTAGCGTCCATATTTTCTTACATCTATTGCGAATTGAAAGATGACTACTATATGTAATAAATTTAGATAAATCCAATTGTAAATTATCAATTAGTGAATTTAATCGTTTTGCATATTCATTTAATTCACTTTTTATATTTTCATCATGAACAATATATGACCTAAGAAAACCTAAATAAACTAAATATTGTACTAGAAAATTTTCGATGAAAAATCTTCAGCTAACCAGAATCTTTCGATTCAATTATCATATTTGTTCGTAATGTTCCATATCCAAGATCTTCATCAAATTCATCGATCTCAGCTAGAATGAAAACTGACTCTCTCAAAGCTATATCAAACTTTTCTTTGCGATCTTGAAAAACTCAGATTAATGAATTCAAATGTAATATAGGAAAAAAAAACGATGATTAGTCGGCCTAACCAAACGTTATGAAATTAATTTTTTTTCGCTATAACATCTATATTCTCTTAAAAATAAAAGCAAACTCTTTGAAAATTTTATCATATATAGAAATTAGTCAGATCTTTCATCAATAAAAATTTAATTCATTTTCTTCAGTTACAGCTGAGTTATTGAAAATACATCAACCATTACAGTATTTGAAAAAGTGAATTTTGTTTGAAGAATCTGATCACTTTGATACATTGAAAGTAGATATAATTTGAAACGATCTAACATTTGTATGAGCATTATATCTTGAAAAAAATTAGGTCTTATTCGATTGGTTGCTATCGAATTGACGAATTGTTTCTTTTTGATTAAGTCATGTTTATTTAAAGATGTATTCTAGTAAATGACTCCTTGCAACAGAAGACTCTGAATCTTCTATTGAGTTTAAGTGTATAAAGTTTTTAGTGGAATTTGTCTATTCTGTCCAAATTTATTTTGATGATGATCAATTAAACGATTTTCGAAATTTTAAAAAGATATTTTTAGGACTTTCAAAGACTAGAAATAATATTGATCTCAATTGTTTCAAATTTTCAACTCGAAACTTCGAAAATCGGTCACATTCAGGTGCAAATCTAATAACTCAAGTTTCAATTTTGCGAAAACTTAATTAACTAAGAGAAGTCTTCTAATACATTGGGCACATAATCTCTCCACGAAAAGAGGGGCGTAATAGTTTTATTTCAATTATTTAATATCTACTTTATTCTATAATATTCGTCACTTATATATGACACGAGAGAGAAGAGGTAAACGATAAACTAAATAGATATACATAGCCATAAGACGAAGAAAAGTTAGAACGTCATGCATAAACAATCAATAACACATCTAAAATAAACCGGGAAAGTCATAAGAAAGTCGTCTATAGAGCTCGTTGGATTGGTCCCGGAGCCATACCTTGTCGAATCCAGATCTGAATATTTTGTATTAATTGAGTTCAGGCCCCAAAAACTTTCGGCTTGAGGAACTCAAGTCGTCTAATATGGGAAATTATCTTTTCCATGTAGAATGTTACCTTACTTTTACATAAATTTTGAGTTGACCTATCTAAGAAGAATTTCGCATGTCTAGAACATTGAAGATTATTCAAGAATAGAAAACGCTTCTGTTCCAAACACTATCGGTCGTGTTCATTTCAAATGTAGACTCAACTTTCTTTATTTTTCAGTTCAATCCCTTCTCCCACTCACAGTGTGCGTATTTCGTATGGCATACGGACATGTGACCTTTTTTCAGACAACGCTATAGAAAAAATAAAACTTTTTACTATTGTATAGAGCTTGACTTGAAGATTCAGAAAATGTCCTTGATTCTATATTTAAATCTTGAAAAAGTGAGATTTTATTTATAGTAAAATGTTTGCCTTAATGCAAACTGTCTCTCCCTCCATATCCGGATGATCGTTAATTTATCACGCCAAGTATAATTAAACTTACTAAGTTCTTTTTCACGCTTGTGTAGTTCGCGAACAACTTTTGCACTACCACATCGTTTATACTTCTTGGCAATTTCAAGATAAAACCAATCAGCTGTGAAACATTCTAATTCTCTACAAAAGAAGATATGACAAAGATTTTATTTAATTGTCATTAGAATATTAGAAAATAAAAATATCAAATTAACTAAAAGACTTAATTAATTATTTACATTACTTTATTGATTGTTCAATCGTATAAGAAAAAGTAAGTTCAGTTAATTAAAGATAAATATGAAAACATGTTTAACAAAAATCTTACTTTAGTTTTAAACATATTTTACATGTCCATGTTTTGTTTGGTTTATTATATGTTGCACAATTATGACAAACATATAATTTACATTCTGAACATAATTCTTTTGGATTAAAAAATATTTTAAATAATTTATAACATCTTATACATCGTTCATAATTAAATTCTTTTGACATAGCTAAACATTCTACACTTTCATGTTCTTGTTGAATAAGATTTTTTAATTCTCTATTTAAAGAAAAAGAAAGTTTGATTTTGTTTTTTTGTTTAAATTTTATCAATGAAAAACTTACTGAATACGTTTATATTCGTTTTCTCGAAGTTTAAAATCACGTTCAATAACTGACATAATACGTTTAATTTCATGATCATTTAATGTTGATAATTCTGATGATCGAGATAGAGAAGATGTAATCATCATGTAAAGTATGTTATTGATTAAATTCAAATAATAAATCTATCATATTCTTTAAATAATAAGTATAATCTAGTCAACAAAATTTTACATAAATGTTATTTTTTCTTTCTACTATTCAAAACGAGAGACAAAGAGAACGAGTAATGAATAGGTAATAGTATAGAGTGAAGGTACCGCTGTCGGGTGTTTGGCTTTTTTCTTTTTTTGTATTTTATATGACTAACGATGATATAGTATATGTATGTATAGTAGAATTAAAGAATTGGAATGAAAAAAACGCTATGCTTTGACTATCAGACATGTGTATATCATATATAGACATGAAAATATATTTTTTTCTTTTTCTTCTTTTGCCAATATATAATTTTGAGACACTTGTGACTATTTTCATTCAGGTCTGCAAAAAAGAAAAAAGACAAAATTTTCTCTCGTATTATTTGATAAATATCATTGATGATTTATACTTAACTATTATATAGGCATACATTGCCAGACTCTCATTATTTTGCTATTATCCAACAATCAATTTAGTTATAAATTTCAAATCGATGATAACAATGATGTATTTATTTATTCATATGATTTTAAAAATAATTATTAATTGCTATTTCAATTAGAATATCTTCATTATTGGAATTTCTAAATTAATATAAATTGCAAGATAGAGAGAAAAAGAAAGAGTTCTTAAAATAATCATTATTTATTTCGTTCGTTTTTATCGTGATTTAGTACATATTATTTTTCATGAAGTGTTTGATCCGGTTTATACTTGAGATCTACATGCGCAATAGTAATTATTTTGATAATTGTTTTCGATGTATAGGAAAAAAAAATGAACATAGTGTTTTGTATTGATGACATTTGAACCATTTGTCGATCAAACTCAGTAATGATTTTCTTTTTTGAAGATGCGAAATCAATGATATATTTATGAGAAAAACTAGTTAAAAAGATAAATAATTCACAACAGATGAGTGAAAGAAAAAATGATATAATAAAGATATTTTTGTATTTTGTTTTACTTTTGTTTTGAAAAAAAAATCGATAGATTATTTTTTCATATGTATCTTTAGTGAGCCAAAAAAAAAAAAGAAAATATTTGTAATCTGTTTGATTCATATCTGTATTAAGTTAAATACTTTTGTGATTATACGAATACTAAATATGATTTATAATCAATTTTCAAACGTCTATTGTTACAATACAGTTGAGAAAAATAATTTTCATAGTTATTTTTCTTTTTGAATGAAAAGACTCCTTATACGTCAATCAAACCCAAATTATTGTTGGCAATTTTGCATACATTTGAATAAATAAGAAAAACAATATTTTATTTTATTAATAAATATTGTCCTTGATCGTTTGAATTGTTCAGTGAATACTTAGTAATATGTAACAAGTATCTCTTTTTCTATATTATATAACACATTTTTGTCCTATGATACAATCATTAGAAAACTTTTTTTCTTCCATTAATTTTTGATCATATTTTATAGCTAAAGAATGATTTTTTTGTTTAAAAAAAATCTTCTAATACGATTCGATATTGAATTCATTGAACTTAAATTCATCTTCAATCGCTTAATGAGAAATAAATAATCTAATTGAGTTTATATTGCAAAATAAAACTAGGTAAAATTTCAATTACCTAGATATCTTGTCAAATCTTTTAAGTCAACATTAACATTGAGAATCGATTTAGATATTATCTAAATAATATCATAAATCAAGTCGAGTAGTATCAGACAGTATGACATTTTCAATAAAAATTCAAACCAATGTTACGAAAAAAAAAATAAAACGAGAGAATTTAACTATTACTTTTCTTTTTTATACTTTAAAAAAAACAATATTAACAACGTTTTTCATTTATCAATGGCATTATCATTCTTTGTTCAAAAGCAACAATTTCAATTACATTTTTTTTTTCTTCTTATTTTAATTTCATAGTGTACATGCCCGAAAGCATTTTTACTCATTTCGAAAGCAGAGCATAAAAATAATCAAGCGAATTGATATTCCACCATTTCCATTTCATATGAGCTTTTTATTATCAAAACATTTGGTATAATTTTCTTTTATTCCTTCGATGTGTTGTTGTCACGATATTCATCTGCAAAAATAAAAACTTCTTATTTTCTTGTTGAAAACAAAAAAAAAATATTGTACAAACATTAAATTCAAATCAAACTCTATTTTTTTTTCTTCGAATATAAATGCATCATATGATGCATTCGAGCGCACACAGCATGTGAAAGAAGACGACGACGACGACGAAGAAGAAGAAGAAGAAGAAGAAAATTGAGTAAAGAAGTTTGTCAAGTGCTTCCATCATCAATGTGTATTTGCGAGAGTAACGCAAACGAACTACCTTCTTCTTTTCTATTCATTCAAATTCGTGTGCACACATACATATATGCACGGCGGGCAGGTATACTTGGGAACGAGCGAGAGAGACTGAGAGAGACGAGGGAGAGAGAGCGACAGCATACAATCATCCTCGGTCACGACGAAACGATGGGGATTTTCGTTTTCGCATCACCAACGAAGAAGAACAGAACATAAAGAGAAGGAACGGAGATGGCAGTGGCAGTCTAAAGCAAAATTGATCAGCAGCAACCTGTAAACAGAAGAAAAGAAGAGAAAATGTCACCAACATCACTACATTATATGATGACAACTTAAACGAAACACACACATACACATACAGAATAGCAGCAGTAAAAGAGATCGATGCGACTAAAAACGAAAGCAGCTAAACGTCTTTTAACTTCATCATCTTCTGTTGATCATGGTAAGTCATATGTGTTAATTGACAAGAATAAATCTTATTTGATAATAAATTAAGTACATATCATGTTAATCCTTTCATTTGTTATACATATAAATCATGATTAACAAACATCAATACATCTTCTATTATTATGTATGATACATCTCATCTTTTTTTTTTTTCTTCATATGTTAATATCATATTTTCTTTTGTTTCTTTCTGACATGCATATTTCTTTTTTTTTTTGCTTGAATTTTAAAGACAATGAATGATAACATATTGAAATTAAATTACTCAAGAAATGAAAAAAATCTTGTACATAAAAACATGTAATATGATTCTTTGTCAGTCGTTTTTTTTTTATCCCATATACATACTTCATTCAACAGAGCCTATTATCTGTCTGGGACGATGATGATGATTATTATTATTATGAAGGAAAAAAATGGACAAATATTGACCTGTGTAGGTGTGTGCATTTAACAAAAAAAAAATTCGAGATGTGCACATCGAAAACTTATCTTCTCCTTTCTCTACTTCGCGTTTGTTGTCTGAATATTATCTTCATTCTATATATGTTGATTCAGTTGAGGATTACACACGATCATAAAAAAAACGAGTAAGAGAAAAAGAGAGAAAGACAGCAGTGTCATATTTACGATATCTATCTATATTCTCCCTCTTATGAATGAGGTGACGAGCTCACGGCATGGATAATCATCGTCTGAAAATTGAGTAGAAAGAAAAACATATAATTACTCTTGAATTCAATCGATTCATTCTATAAATATGAAACGAAAAAGAAAATTCGACTGAATAGCGAATTCGTTCGGGTGGAATCATGATATAAAAAGAGAACGAAAGAAATACATTGGCATCTCTATTCTCATGTCATATTCAGGTGAGTGAGAAGAGAATGAGAAAAAGAAACAGACAGAGAGAGAGAGAGAGAGCAAGGGAGAAAGATAAAATTCATTCAACGACAATTTCATGTCTTCTCATTTGAATAAGAACAAGACAAGCATGTCGAGTAAGTCATTTTCACATTTGACAGATTGAGGTAGCAATGAGGGCACTATATAGATGAGACATACATTATCATTTTTATTTCTTTAAATCATGCACAGAAGTGAAAATATATTGTACGAATTATTGGATAATGATATCGTTTTTGATGTGTGAAATTTTGTTTTATTTTATTTTTTTTTCTTTCGTTTTTATCCATTTAGAAGCTATTACACATATTGATAAAGAACAAAAAACGACAACAATTATTAATAAATCAAATAATCTTAAATTGACGAATGAAAATTCACAGGACGAACAAAATAATAAACGAATCACTATGAAATGTACAAATCTTGAAACACAACAAAATGAAGAAAGTAAGAAAGAAATAATATATAGAATATTTATCTCTAAGTGCTTTTTATTTTTATTTTTATTCTTCTAAATATTATAGCTATTGAAGAATCTATGATTAATAATCATTCATTCAATGAAGCTGATGAATATCATCAACAACAAAGGTAAAAGGATATTCAACAAACTTTTCAGAGACTCTATCACTAAGCATTCCATAAGACTAATTAGTGAGACAACCAAAAACCAAACAAAAATATTCATAAATAATAGAACTCAGTTGATAATAGATAATATAGTTATTCTTTGTATTTTTGTTTTTATGAAACAATACAAATAATCATAAGACTTAACTCCAACATTAGTTTTCAATTGTCTAAAATGAAAGAAAATTCTTTTTTTTTTCATAGTTGTGTTATTTACTAAAACTATCTGAAAATGATTTCAATGTGAAAAATTCATTCATTAGATCGAGATTCATATACGCCGCTGGGTGTAAATTGTTATTCTTATTGTTAGAGAAAGAAAAAACAAAAACTGTTAATTAGACAATGAGAAAGTATATTGATTTGTTATTATTATTATTGTATAACGAGAAAAATGATGCCTTGAAGCACAGGTGAAAACAATAATGTTATTTTCTTGAATTTTAATATACTCAAAAGAAAGAAAATGTATGCTTCTGTTCTTTCTAATTCATATTTAATCAGTCAAACTTTAATTTAAAAGAATGTATGTCGTCATAAGACAACTTCCGGAACGATGAAGAATAAAAGAAATATATGTAAGTATCTATTTTAGAATGTACGAACGTATAAATAATCATCAAAATACATCAAATTCAAGTGAAACAAGTGAATGTGAAAATCGTTTGTATACATGTAATGATTGTGGAAAAGGTTTTCAAACATCGTCTGGTTTAAAACAACATCGAAATATTCATTCAAGTATTAAACCATGGAAATGTGAAGTAAGATAAAGAAGAACAAGAAGAAAAAACTAATAGATCATGCATAATAAATTAGTTAAAAAGTTTCTCTCGTTTAAGGTTACTTTTCAAGATATTGAAGAATCTGTTTTTAAAGTTATTCGATAGAAAATTTTCCACTCTATAAAACTGTTGAGTTTGTCTTTCACAAAGGGTTTTCTTATTGGCGAAAAAACGAAAAGATTGACAACCACTCATGAAGAAACTACTCAAAGGGTGATCCACTGATTCAGCTCATATTACACTTACAAGGAGGTCTTATGTGAGACTAGAAAAATTCAAAAAGGCTTCGTATTCACGAGACTATGGAGTTGACATTTCCTTGTTGTGATATTGAACTTCCAAAAACTATCGTTTGCTATAGACATCTAAAAAAAATTCGAGTTTACTTGAAAATTCAATATGTCAAAAAAAGAAACATTCTTTTCAGATGAAACTTTCAGAATAATCTAAGAGTCATCATACCAATCTATGGGTACAACTTCAAATCGAAAATTTATTAAAACAGCCATACCTCAATTTTGAAGAACCATGAGTATGAACCATTTTAAGCTTCGCATAGTCGTACTAAGACCTTCTTTAGGGTCCAATATGAACTCAAACAGTGGTCACATTTTGAGTTGTTTCTTCATCAGCTATCCTATTGTGACTGTTAAAAACTAAAACAGGTATTTAAAAAAAGAATTCACCAGGTGTTAGTTCCAAGCCTTTCGAACCGAAAAGACACTGTTAAAGATCTTAGAAGTATAGAACAGAAAATTCCTTTTCTGTTGTTGCTGCTAGAGGAAGAAATTCTCTACTAAATGAATCTAAAATTGATTGTTTAATATCTTAGAAAATGTCATAAAAAAAAATAAAACATTTTGATCTGTTTATTATCCATTATTTGCTATTCTTAGAAATAAATTCAAATTATTTTTCTTTCTTTTAGTTTTGTACAAAATCTTATACACAATTTTCAAATTTATGTCGTCATAAACGTTCACATGCCAATGTAAAAACACAAATTGAATGTAAAGATTGTGGACAAGGATTTCAAAGTCATATTGCTTTGAATAAACATCGGTATGAAAATATAAAAATCGATTTTTTTTTTTCTATTGATTTTATATTTTCTAGAAGTTCATGTAAAGAACGAAATCTCTCAACATCAATGATAACACCAAATTTAACTGCTTTACTTCCATTTATTGATGCAACATCATTAAAAGAATGTATAACAAATAAAAAATTTGAAGAACCAATTGATTTATCTAAAACATTAAAACGTACAAGACAATCATCTATTGATCAACCAATTGATTATTCATTAATGAATAAACGTCCTGATTTTAATTTACAACATACATCACATATATTTGGTGATAATCAAGAAAAAAAATTTAAAAAAACTAATGTTGATCATGATGAGAAAGATGAAATAGCAGATGAACATCAATTATTATTATTAATAAAAAAACAAATTAAAGAATATGATGAACATAGACCATTAACACCAATATCATCATCATCATCATCATCATCAAGTCCATCTAATATAATATCATTAGATAAAAAAATTATTTCAAATGATATTCCACCAACACCAGCAATGACAATACGTAGTCATGATCGATATTGTTGTTCATATTGTTCAAAAACATTTCCACGTAGTGCCAATCTTACTCGACATCTAAGAACACATACAGATAAGTATATTTATTTATTTAGTTTTATTTTCTATCAATTTTGTAGAATTTAGAATGACTTTAAAGCATTAGAATACTTTTAAAAATATTCTTTTAGTCGTGTTTTCAATAGAGTATATGATATATATAGGTTAAAGATAGAATTTTATTAAATTTAGAGGGTATGTTGTACTTCTCTATTCAAATTAAAGTACAACCTTGAGTGTCTTGTACAAGTTATTCTCTTCTGATTTCCGAAAAACTCAAGAATAGAGTTTGCGAATATGTTAATGTTTGCAGAATTTTCAAAACAGATTTCGGAAAATTTTTGAAAAGTTATTCAAATGCATTGAAGTATTTTCGAAGCTGCGGACACTTATTTTTGATTGGAAAAATCTTTTGAAGAGTTTTCGAGATCGATCTAGAAATCTTTTTCTATCATGCGGAAGTTTTTCGAGTATATTTACAATGGCAGAGTATTTAATATACCTCCAGGACATTGAACATACTCAGGTTAAATTGAAGGTCTCACCAAATAGCTAACAAATTTAAAACATGAGTTACTTATGATAAATAAAAACTGAGATATTCGAATTCGAATATATTTACAGTGTATGTACTATGCCAATAATTTAACATTTCAGAAGAATTGATTTTTCTCTTCTCTTTATGATTGAATAGAGTTTCGTCGAGGTACACAAGAAAAATTTTTTTTTCAAATATAGAGAAAAAATATGTACACTTGAAATTTTGACTTTCGTAAAATTCGATTTTTCTATATGTGTGAAGCAACATTTTCTTATGCATTTCGACAAGCTCTATGCAACTATGGTGAAAAGAGAAAAATAAATTTTTCTAAAATTTTCAATCGTTAGCACATGACATACAATGTAAATATCTTAAATTTCGAATATCTTACTGCGTGCATGCCATAAACAGCTCACATTTGAAATTTGTCGGTGTGACCTTTAATTTGATCCGAACATATGTAACGGTCTTGAGTTACAGTTACACATCCGTCTATTTTTAGATAGATTTTGTATATCTCTGAATGATACTAAACTGAAATTATTTAGTTTTATATTTTCCAACTCTTTAAAATAACGTAACATCTATTGAAGAGATGACATAGACTCTAATGTTTGTATTTGGTAGATGTGATAATCTTGTCTTAACCTCCTAAGAAGTTTTTTCCTACACTAGATATAAAAATACTACCTTTTAAAACTTAGAACTTTCTTCCTACGAATACACTAGAGGAACTTCTTTAAGGTTCGATATATATATACAGAACTTTTCTTTAATTTTTCTATCGAATTTTTAAAATATTCTCAAAAAATTTGTCTCGTAGGACTTCAAATGAAATGATTTCCTTATTCCTGATCTCCTGCATATATCCTATGCTTTGTTTAGAGTCGAAAGGAAAGGCTAATTCTACTTAAAGTTTGTTGAGATAGACGTAGTATTAAACTCTTCAATACAGGAGAGTCAGAAATTTTTTTTTATACCAGAATATACTAAACTCATAACAAACATCGATCATAGACTTCTGAAGACGAAAAGTTGAATAGAAAGTTAGAATAGTGCATTTGACAATACCATTACTTTTACTCTTCGATAAAAATTCATTTCGAATTATTCGTATTTTTTATTCCAAAAGAAAATAATTCTATAGCGATTCTAATGCCATTTTGTTTTCTTTTTTTTTTGGTTTTTACGAGAACAACCATATGTCTGCAAATTTTGTAATCGAAGTTTTTCAATATCATCAAATTTACAACGACATATACGAAATATTCATAAACGTGAACGACCATTTCGTTGCACATATTGTGATAAATGTTTTGGTCAACAAACAAATCTTGATCGACATATGAAAAAACATTTATCACAATTATCATCAATATTATCTTTAGCAAATTCATCATCGAATATTTCATTAATACCATCAACATCATTTATTCTTAATTCAAATTCAAATTCAAATGAAAATTTACCACAAAATTCAACTGATGATGATGATGATGACGATGAAGATTCAAGTGGATTAACAGATGAAGATGAAGGAGAAGATGAAGAAGAAGAAAACGAAGAAGAAGAAAATATTGATGAAGAAGATGAAGATTTAGAAACAAATTCATTATCAATTGATAATACTAATGAAACTGTAAAACATCAAACTAGTTCAACATTCGTCTAACTTGTTTCATTCTCATTCAACATTCCATTTATTTGTTTGTTTTTCTTTTTCTCTTATATTTGCTGTGATTTGCCATGAAACTTATTCACATCATATATTTTCATTCTCCGGTGTGAGTTCAATTTTCTTCTATTTCAATATCATAATGACAAAAAAATGAATGTATATCTGTGTGTCTATTACTCTATTCGTTGCTTTTTGTTTTTGTTTATTTTAGTTTTATTGACTCTTATTCTCAGGCCTACTATTGACATGTTCGAGAATGATTGACCTGTAAAGACATGAAAAAACAAAAGAATTGAGAACTTTTTTTTTTCTGCTTTGTTTTCTACTTATTATTAAACCGAATATATATATATATATATTTACCATTATTTGTCTTTTTCTTATTATATTAATTGATAAAAAAAAAAGATAAACTTATTTTATGTTCGTACAACATTAGAGATTAGATCTAATAATAATAAGACACTTGTTCTGAGATTCGATGTACTTGCAGATCAAATCAGAACGAATGATTTTTTTTTTTCAAATTCATTAATTTCTATAACATTGCAATCATGTATCATTCTAGTTTCAGTTATATTTACTTGATTTATATTCATAAACAAATAATAGAATCAAAAGTTCCTCCATCAAATAGCAAATTAAAATAAACCGAAAAATCATTCAAAGTAAGTTTTATGCAACAAGAACTTGAGATTAGTGTTCGATACGGATACAACTTTTCGTACCCAGTAGAGATGTCCGTCATGGTGGCTTTCTTTGATATTATCTTGGTACCGGTGGCAGCTGTTTTTCAAAAGTCTATTGCAAAACTACATGAATTTACAGAGCATTTCAGTGTGCACAGTTCTAACACTGTGATATTTGAATCATCTTTTAAAATCATCTCGGAAGCGGAAAATGTTTTTTTTAGATATCATCATAGGGCACGAGCTTTTATTTCTATAGTCGAAGTAGATTTTTAGTTAACTATATTTGATATTCAACCGGTAGTATCTGATACTCGGCAAATTTTTCAGCTATAGTACGCTTTCAAATTTCTGTTTTTCAAAAAAAATTTGTTATAATCAGATAGATAGATAACAATCAAAAAATAAAAATTGAGTGAATCAAATCATTTATTATTCAGTAGTTGTCTTCTTCAGTATTATTAAATATAATTTCTCATGTTGTTGATACCGCTAAAGTTATTAACAGTAATGTTGAAGTTAAACATGATAATGTTGATATTTATAGCTATGCTTTTTTCATTCTAATATCATAATGTTACTTTTCGAATAAACTTCAATTAGTAGTTATTTGTTCGTTATACATTTTATTTCAAAATAATCATTCGTTTTATGTATGTCAGCTATTCTCAAGTATGGCATTTCAAATCTTCTGAAGTTTTCAGAATAGACCATAATGGAAAGAAAATAGTAAAGTGTTCAGTACTACATCATGACGTTTGAGAGAGATATTCACCAAGCAAGGATTAAAAATAAGTCATTTTACAATCTGAAATTCTCTGTGGATTTACATTCTATGTTTTTATTTCGTTTGAAAAACGATGTCAGGTAGCAGAGCATGAATAAAGTCTTACTTTTTTCTCGAGCAAAAAGTGAAAAATTTTATTCCGTGAAAAACCTCAACAATTCAAATCTATTTATAGAAATGCTGCTCTATGTAATAAAAACAAGACTTAATTAAAGAAAAGGAGTTTGCTCATGCCTTGCATTTTGACCTATTCTTTCACATACAAAAAAAAAGCAATTGACTAAAATAAAGCTTCTTTGGGAATTCTGTGATGCACGATCAACAAAGTATACAAAGAAAAAATGCGAAAAAGATTTTTTTTTTCTTGAATAGAAGCTTTATTACGTTGTAATATTTTCAACTTTTGTCGTTATTTAATTTTTCTTGAATGTTGGAAACATTTTTCCCTCTTTAGAACTAAAGCACTTTTAAAATTCGTGAAAACAGCATATGAATATCACAAAATCCATGCCCATCGAAAAATCTGTATTTTTGGAAGAAAGTTAAAAAAAAAAAATCAGCGAAATTTAAATTAAAAAACAAAATAATAATCAACTAGAGTTGTCAAAATCCAAATTTCAGAAATCAGTTTCTTTCAACTAAGTCGTCTATTATTCGATTTCAGTTGTTATCTCATATTAATTTTATTACAGTAAAAGTGCTGTCACAAAACGCAGTAATAAATCAGTTCTCTCAGGAAATTGAGTGACCCAATAATCAACAAACTATTGTTTCACGCATTTATCTTACAAGGGAAGTCTCACAACAGATATAACTTATTGCTGTTGAGATATTGCATTTTTCGCGTGCTTTTTTAAGTACTTGCTATGATCCTTTACAAGAACACTGAGAAAACTGATTTTCGAATTTCACCTTGGAACTTTCCATAGAGACACAACTTAATGAGAATAGTTTACTGTAAAATTTTCAGACAATTTCATTTTTCCTATGCTGAAATACACTTATGATAAAAGATCGTTTTTCTACACGGCTCATACACATCAATAGATTTCATGTTCTTATTTTAGGTAAAGGAGAAAACTAAAAAACTTGTAATTTTTACAATAAATTATTCTCGTTAAGGTCTGTCTCTGTGCAAAGTTTCAAGTCGAAATTACATAATAAGTTTTCCTTGTGCTTTTGACAGATGCCACGGCATTGACTTGAGAAATATCATAAAAATGCAACATCTCAATGAAAAGAAGCTAAGAACCCTGACTATTTTCAGGATATTTATAGCTCATTAGAGTCTACATAATTCGCATAGTCCGAACTCAAAAGAGATTAATCAGCTGAAGAACTTTCTTCGTTAATTTCAAATTTTCTCACGAAAATTCACTTGTTTTTTCAAGAGAAGGGAACCTATTATGTACAAATGAAAAAATTTTTTTGAATAATTGAAATAATCTTAAATTATAAGAATGTACGTAAATATCAAGTCACATCCGTGTATGGACTCATAGACGAAGCTAGCCATGCAGTTTTTTATAATGTCTTGTACCCAAATCTATGTCTTTCGTCGGCTTACAAGAACATGAATTTATTGTTTCATTAGAAAGACAATTCTTGTTGGACAGCGTCGAAAAATTGATCATCATTTTCTGATCTTTATTTTACTATTTTTAAACATAAAAACTAATTTTATCGACACTCAGAACTTACGAAATACCCTACATAGATTCTACAAATCAGAGAAATCATTTTATACTGTTTATTGTAAAGTAAATAGCAATAAAAATGGATGCTTTAAGATTTTATCATATATATTCCTGGAAAAGAACAATTAGATACTCTGAAAGCGCTCGAAGTTTTCTATTACTTTGTATATTTATGTTTCAAGATAAACCTAATGGCTAGAAATAAATAATCTTGAATGAAGATATTCTCATAGTCAAATATCCGTGTACTGAATTTCACCCTTGTTTTTTTCCGTAATTAATTTTTTAAAATTTATTATTACTAGAGAAATAGTTCCTTAAAAACAATGTTAAATATTCTGATAGAGCTTGGAGTTCTCTAGTGTTCTATATATTTTTCATTGTCTTAACTTTGTTTGTTGGCAAAAAAAAATTGAGTAGATTAATTCTACTCTCACTAGACAAATACTAAAAAAACTGCATGTTCCAATTAGATGTTTGTTTTCTCTTTTTCAAAAGTTTAGGATGATAGAGAATTTCAAGCTCTATCAAAATATCTAATTATGATAAGTTTAAGAGATTAATGTAGAAGACAGTGCTGAAATTCAGTTCGTAGGATTTGATGATGACGATGCTTTCACATTGCAATTGTTTCATTTTTTACCTATTAGTCACAAGTTAAAACATAAATATGCAGAGTTATGCAGAATTCCAAGCACTCTCAGAACATATAATTCTTTTTTGTAAAATATGTTTTTATTTAAAACATCGATTAAAATAATTTTTTTCCAGATTTAACTTTTGATTCTTTACAAAAGTTATTTTTTTTAAATAAGTTCTTTTAGCATAAATATATGTTTAAAATGTTGGTTCTTTCATTTGACTATTAACTTAAAAGTAATTAGCGACGATCTCTATAATCAATACGAAAAAAAAAAATCATCATCTAAAGAAGGATTTATGCTATTTGGGATTGGTTTTAAACTTTTCAGTTGATTAAAAGAATATTTTTTTCGAACGCCGTCACGTCGCTAACAAAAATTATATCGAGTCTTTTTTTGAAAAACCAAGACATCGTGCGAAACTACTTTGCATAGTGATTTAATTCTAAACTAAAATGTATGAAATGAAAGTCGATATCCTTTTTGGTGTCACGTCGCTAATGCTAGGTTTTTTTTATGATAACTCTTATAAAAACAGATTAATTATCCCGAGATATACATGTTTTAATTTTGTGAATTCACTCCGCTATTAAATGACTTTGCACATATATTCTTCATTTTTCTATTTGTATGCATTGTGTGGAAGCTTAATTTTCTTGAAAAAAAAAAACAACATTTACTACGATTAAAAGAATTGAATATGAATACATTGAAAAACACATTACAAAAGCAAAAAACAAAAAAGAAAGATTTCATTAAGACAATGACTAGAAGTAAATATAAGTATATGTTCAATAATTATTTATTTGTCATTTGGAAGACATTTGATGCAGCCATTAAATTTTCAATATATTGTCCTAAAACTTGATTTTCTGAACGTAATTTAAAATTTTCTTCTTTAACTGTATCAACACGATGTGATAAATCATCAAGAGTTTTTTGTAATGTTAATACTTGATTAATTAAACGTTGTTTTTCTTCTTCTTCTTCCGAATTATAATTTAATTCATATGATGTACGTGAATGTGTGGATAATGAATCTTGATCACTTTCAATATTACCATTATTATTTTGATTTATTCCAGCCGCCATTAAACCTTGTTCATTATCCGGTGTTCGAGCCATGATGCCAATGAATGAATGAATGAATAAATAAACAATAATCACAACAAGTCTAATGATAAAAGTCAATATATGATAAGAAAAATTATTAAATAAAATAAAAATAAAAATATTGTTTTTTTCTTTTAAAATAAAACAAAAAAAAAGTTTATTTCTAAAAAGTATTTCTCACGACATCTATAAAATGTTGTTATGGAGACTTTGTTATAGCAACATAAAGTGTCAATGGAATATTGTTTTAGTTGTTAGTTTTTCCTTTTTCAACTATTGAAATATCATAACAAAACTTGTACGTCGAACAAGAAATGGCTAAAGTAGTAACACGTCCACAACGTTTTACACCTGAAGAATGGAAATTGGCATCAAAAGTTAAACATAAAAATACTGAACGAGATCGTTCGGGTGCTGAACGACTTATTTTAGAATGTGATCGACTTGATCAAGAAGGTCGAGGAACCGTTGATCGTACGTTAGCAGATGTTAATAAAAAACTCGGTACGTTGTGTTTTATTTTTTGTTCTAAAAAAAAACAAATGATTAGTAAAACAGTTCGTACATATTCTTGATATCACATTACATCAAATCACTCTTTGCACCTTTTCTTTTAAGGACTTTTATATGAAGTCGAGAACAGCTAATAAAAGATAAAAAAATATTTGTCACGTTTTTTCCTCGATTCTAATCGGTTTAAGACAGTATTAATATTTTTGTTAGTATGCTTATCTCTACGGCACTATTATGATATTCAGAAACGAGAATTTGATTAAGGGGGACCCCCCCCCCCCTCAGGAATCGCTTTTCGTTATTCGTGGATCGAGTTGGCTGAAATTTTCAGGCAATATGTGTGTTACGTTAACTAAATTTCTTGCAAATTTTTTGACTCATAAAATTCTTGTTTTAATGAGTTATTGATAAATTAGTCCTGAAAATGGTGGTCCTCGTAAGGTACCGATTTCTCGGACTGTCGAAGAGACAGAGAGCTACCGTTTGTTTTAAATAAAAGAGAAAACCTGCATCTACAAATGTATATACCGTTTTTTTCGAAATTCGATTTTGTTCAGATTCCTGAGACATTTTCCTGCAATAACTCGGAAATTAGTGCTTTTTGACATCAGTGTTATCCATTTATCTCCGCAAGGAAATCGAATTTCGAAAAAACGGTCTATACATTTCTAGACACAGGTCTCATCTTTTATTTAAAAAAAACGGTAGCTTGCTACCTCTTCTACAGTTCGAGAAATCGGTTCCTAACTCTCCAAAAAAGTGATTTTGAGAAAACCAATCAACAAGTTTGTATGAAACAATTTTGAGTTTCACTATGACTGTCACGACCTCTATACGGCAATTTCATCATGTATGCAGGATTTTAAGCAGAAATGACTACGTTCCTCTAATTAATTAATATAACAGAACGTATATGTCTTTTTCATTAAACAAAATCTACAAGTTTGTTGATCACTGTCACATCTCCCTAACTAAAAAAAATTCTGATAAAACCTTATATTTCTACCAGTGCTCCCAGAAAACCGCTATTTTCACAGCCCAAAACCATTGAAAGTGCGACAAATCATACATAATCTGAAAGAGGACACTTTGGGCTTTCATCATATGTGCTTATCTCAAAATCGATTTTTTTCAAAAAAAATCAATTTTCTGAGGGGGGGGGGGGTTCCCCTTAATATGAAAAAATCCAATGATATTAGCTTGTCTTTTTGAAGCATTTTTATGGAAAAGGATTTTTGTTTTTCATCGTTGTGCAATTATTTTGTTTTCTTTTTATAAATGTGAAACTAAAGACATAGGCGCGCTGAATATTTTCTTAAAAATTTATTGAAATTGCTACCAACAGCAAAAACATCTCAAGAAATATAGATTTATTATTTCGAGATTTAGATTCTGATCTTTCGTCTTGAATTAAGGCATTGATTAGTTGTTTTATTCAATTATCAATCTTCGTATGATAGCATTAGCGAAAAGATATTTCCTTTATGCTATCAGTAATCTATAATTCAGTATTACTGAGAAAAAAAAGGAAGATCTATGAATCATTTATTTTAATGTTTATTTTGATTGATTTTAATGGAAGAAATTATTTAATGTAAATAATCACACGTGATCTCTCAAAGTTTCCAAGGTTAAGGAATTCGAATCTATGAAATTTTCTCACCCGACGATCATCAATTTGTTAGTAATCTTATTCAAGCTTATATTAAAAAACTTCTTTTTGTTAATAATAATATATCAAGTGGTGTTAATAAGTCGTTCTTATTCATATTAATGGTTAAATACGATTAATAAAAATTGTACTTTTAATTAAGTTGCTTAAAGAAATGGTCTTTCTTTTGTTTTAAGTTACCAGTTATCTGCCACATAATGGTAACTTCTTTTTCCTAATGCTATTACAAGACATATACTAATCGGATTAGACTATATAATCAGTACTCTAAATAAAGAAGAAATGCCACAGTCTAAATTCCGAAACTAAAAGCCCAACAGATTTTGTATTGCTACATGCCTATTATGATGAAGTTAATTAAAAAAATGCCTGTTCTCATTCAACAGAAACGGAAATAAATAAAAAGCCTAAAGTCATTCAAATATATACGTTTTTTTTTTATTATTATTATTAATAATGGATGAAATATTAATCAGCCAAAAGAAAAGCCTAAGGAAAATTCGAGAGTTCATTATTTCTTCTATTGAATGTTCGAAATAATACTTCATAGGCATAATGATTATATCGATTTGAAGGATACAAAGGCGTCAGATATATTTATTAGACATTAGTATCTAAAATGTCTTCGATTTATTGATAAAATGTTTTCTTAATAAGTTGCCCTTTTCTTTTTTCAATAAACGGATTTCTTGCATCAGATGACATGAAGGACATTATTAAATAAATAAAACATTTTTTGCTTGTATAGATCAACGTTTGGATCATATTCAAAATTGGAAAGGTGAACTTGAAGTAAAACGAAGTGAATTAGAAAAAGAAATTGATTCTACAGAAACTTATCTAGTACGAATTGAAAAACGTCTTCAATCACTTCAAGATAATTTACATATTACTCAAACAACATTAGCTAATCGGTAGATTAATCAATCAAAAAATAAATAAATAAATAAAAGAAATTTTTTCGTTTATTTTAGAGAAAAACGTTATGATATTGATTTAGTTCATGATGATGTTCAAAAAGATTTAATTATGGAAATATCAGCTATACAAGGTGCCATTACTTTATTATCACGTACAATCGAACAAACTAAAGAGCAACTTAGGTAATGTTTTATCATCTTCTAATTAAATAGATATTCATCAAGGTTGTCTAATATTCCTTGATACGTCAAGTAATGCTCAACGAATAATGATAATTAATAGAAAGAATGTTTTCTTTTTTTAGTTGACATTTTCATCTAGAAAATAACTTTCTCTTTCACTATGAAAACAAACAAAAACACACACACACACACACACAAATGTATAGAAAGAATGACTATAGCTATTATTATTTCTTTCGTTTAATTCTTTGTCGACGTTCTCGTAATAATTCAGTTATTTGATCAACACTAGGTTTTGCTTGAGGAGATGTTGATAGAGTTGAAGATCGTCTAACTGCATCAATTTGTTCAATAATTGAACCTGTAGGTGATCGTTGTGATATTGTTGTAACGATTGATGAACGTCGACGTGAAGGAGTTGGTGGTACAAGTAATTTAGGTGCATCACGAAGAGGATCATCTGTTGTTGTAGTTAAACTTGGTAGTAGCATTTTATTGTTATTATCAGTTATAGTAAATCCACCACCGAATGTTGCAGCAATTTTAGGATCAGACATAACAGGTAAAAAAAGTAATTTTCCTAAACTTAATAAACCTTGATCAGGACCAAGTGTTGACATCATTTTTGCTAGACCTTCAAGAACAACTGGTTGTGATGCTTTTTTTTCATATGAATAAAATAATTCTTCAATAACATGTGTTACAACAAAATCTGATGTATTAGTTTCTAATAAACGTAAAACAAATATTCCATCACATTTTAAATAATTTCGTGCAAAATCCGCATGTGAATCATCACGATGTAAAAGTGAATCATCACTTATTAATTGTTGAGATTGTTGAGTATTATTTTCATTTGTTATTAAACCTTTTCGTAAATTTCTTATTAATATTAATTTTAATCTTGTTGTAACATATTTTATTCGTACAGGACGTATAAATGAATATGACCATGTAAATAATGATATTAAATTTAATATAACTATCATTGTATACCAAAAAAATAAAAATGTAAATAATTGTTCAAATAATAAATTATTTGGTAATACACATTCAACTGTATATCGGTGAGAATTATAAAGATGATTTGGTTCACGTACTCTATAAATAATAAATATAATAAATTCAATGAAAAAAAATTTATTTGTTATGACTTACTCAAAATCGCATAGAGTTACTTTAGGAAAATATTTTGAAAGACCACCTTGGTGTCGATAGGATTGTTGTAATGGTTGATTTTGTATAAGTAACATTAATTTTTGTAATAATTCTAATCCATAACGATAATATTTAATTCCAAGCATTTCATTAAATAATGCTAATTGTCCAATGGAATTAACAACATAAAGAACTTTTGTTAATAAATAAACCATCATAAAATAATTTCCTTGAAATTTTCCATACATACAACAAAAAACAGCTTGTATACGTCGAAGTAAACTTAAATTTCGATTTTCTCGTCCACGTCTTGGATCATCAATAAATTCATCGATAGATGCAATTATATAATCCATTATTTTACGTCTTTTATCCATTCGATCAATTGATTTATAACTTTTACCAGCTTCAATTATATCTTTTAAATCCAAACCACTACGCGTCATTAATGATTGCCAAACAAGATTTGGAATGTAAAAAAGAATGCTTTAAAAGAAAATAACAATAAGAATAATAATTAATATTTTTGTTTTTGTTTTAATACCTTAGAAAACAAAGAATAAATGGGATCCATTGGTAATAAAGTAATTGTAAACTTTGTCGTTCAGTACGTGTCGAGGGAATTTTTTGTGTTTGATTTACATAATAAGTATTAGTAATATAACATATATGATTGGTATAATCTTCATAACCTGATGTAAACATTGCTGGTACCCAACCTTAATAGATAGATTGCGATTAAAAAAAATTAAAAAAAAAATATAATTTTTTTTTCTTTACATTGAATTTGTTTCGAACTGAATTGTCTATTTGTAACAATAGCTGAAAAAACATTGAGTAATATAACTGTATAACGATAGTTTAGACGATCAACAAAATCATCTGGATCAGCTTGAGGCGCCTGATTTTGACCAGCAAGACTCGGAATGCCTTTCAATAAGAGAAACGCCATACGTCAACGATATAAATCGATAGAACTTCATCGTTTTTTTAGCACGTTAAAACGTGTTTTTGATCTTGCTGATCATATAGCACTTCTACCGATTCGTTTTGTTGATCAATCTATAAATCGACAAATAATATCAAGGTTTTTTTGGTCGAGTGAAAAAAAAAACGAGAGCGAGCGCGTTTATAGATCTATATATATATATATTATATATTATATATATTTGTATATATAAATGGTAGGACGATAATGATCACAAGGCTGATGCTGCTGTTGTTCGCATCATCAAGATCTACGATTGCGAAGAACTGGCCGTCGAGCTTTTTTCATTTATCACAAACAAACGCATAAATACGCGTATGTAATTGTCAACAAGCTTGTTTGATGACAATCACAATAGGAGGCAAAAAAAGAATTGGATTTTTTGTGTATATTTAGAGGACAAATAGATAAAAAAAAAAACGAAGATGAGCATCAGTGGCAACAGCTTGAATGAGAAGAGAAAATGAGTGGAAGAAATTGATGATGATATCAGCTCGTTGCCAAATAAATGTAACGCATCTTTTATCAAACGCTATATAATCAAACAATTCCCTCTAATATCACATCATTAGTAACTGTATGCGTAGTGCAACATGTCGATTAGAGAAGTTCTACTCATACTGTTATACACGTCCACTATCACTCTCCAAATGCAAACCTAGATGATGATGACATTTATTCTGTGTATAGCGCGTGCAAATGTGGTTTCTTTTGTTCATCAACTTATTGAAAGCACAGCTGTTTAGCGCGCGCTGTCGTTTTCTATGTTTGTTATGAGATAATAGTAATGTTGAAAGAAATAAAGACAGAGATAGAGAGAGAGAGAAAAAAAAACATAAGACTGTCTCACCAATAAAGTTTTATTTCAGCTTTTGTGTCATTCGATTCTAATAGATAATTAATCTCTATCATTTGTCCATATTCTTTATATATACATTTGTGTGCTTTTCTTCTCTTTCCCATCTATAAGTTGCTGCTGCTGCTGCTGCCGTTGTTGTTATTTTATAGTATGGTATATACAGTTAGACACATCGCAATGAGAAAATACAACACTCTAAGTAGCAATCTTAGCTATAACTCTAACTGACTGTTTCTCTTCGTATCACATATAAATACATTAGATTGACAATACTTTACTGCTTTCTTATACACGCTCGCACACCATATTGTACAGAGCATATATATCCCTTTGGTGACACGCAATAATTTGTTCGACAGAATCCGAAAAGATGCCAAGAAGAATAACAATATAAAATGATGATAATGATGATGATGATGATGATGATGGGCTCTGGTGTTAGTTGGCTTAAGGTTAAAAATCAGTTACTATTTAATGTATATATACCATGATAAAAAAAAAAAGCGAAAAGAAAATGTCATCTACAAGTTACGATGTGCAGGTGACGCATGATTTTCTTGCATCGTCTTTTTCCTTTTTCTTTATTTTCTTTACAGTCTTTTCTGTCTAAGTGTCGATTGGAATTATGCCCGTATGTGTTGAAAATTACTCGCACGACTTCCTGTCTTTTATTCATCCTACCATTTTCTTTGTATATGTCTTCGACTATATTGATCGATTCCGGCTACGCCTTTCTTCATCTTTTTTTTTTTTCGGGAAAATTGAATAGGAACATAATTGTATTCTATTCTTTTTCTATAGATTGATGCGCAAAGCTCGCTATTTACTTGATCGAGATCTTAAAGACAAATTTACAGCTCAATCAATTGATGAACATGCCATTGATTTAAGTTTAACAAGTCCATCACTTTATCTTAAAGAAGGTGTTACACATGTTAATCCTCGGTATGTTAACATTGGTTTCTATATATATGCATATTTATAACTATATATTATGAAGAAAAAGAATTATCAATTGCGACTCAAAACTTTTTAGTTGATGTAGATGGGAGAAAAAAAAACGCCCATGGGTATATGTATTCAAGGAAGTAAAACATGACTGTCTGCCAGTCATTATAGCTTTCATGACGAAAGAATCTTTCTCTCTCTCTCTCTCTCTTTCTCGTTTTTTTCTTCTTCTCTCTCTTGACAAAATAAGATCAACATTGTATCACTGTTTTTTTTTTCTTGTTATCTGTTTTTAATTATTAATCATTAGTTCGGTATCTGAACCATTTTGGGAAGAATATTCTGATGAAAATATTAAAAATGCTGAAACACAACGACTTAATGCTGTACAATTACGTAATGTAATTGATGGTATATTGAAAAAGCTTGTTGCTGATCTTAAACAAGCTGTTGAAAAAACACGACGATCATTTGATCGACGTATTTATGAATCGAAACAAGCAAAACAAACATTAGAAAATCAATTACGTGATGTAAATTTAACTTATAATAAAAGAGTAAAAAATAAAAATTCGATTAATTTTTAAGGTTCATTTACTTATTGATCAACTTGAAGAAAGTATAAAAAATACTGAAAAAGCTATACGTGATAAAGAACAATACTTAAAATTGGCTCATACACGTCTTGATATTCGTCATAAACGACCTAATGTTGAACTTGTTTATGATGCTCCACAAAAACGTCTAATTGAAGAAATACGAGAAATTGAATGTGAAATACAACGACTTCAAGAACGGTATGTAAGAAGAACAAAAAGAATAATCATACACTTACCATCATCTCTGTTGTCTTGATATATGAAAAGAAAAAAGTAGATTAAGAATAGATACCAATGCGGAAATGTTAATATGATAATTGAAGCGAGATCTCGACATGGATATAAGATTTCTCTTTATCATTATTTCTTATTTTTCTTATGTTCTAGTTTGAATGAATCACATGTTCGTCTTCGTAATTTGGATCGTGATAAATTAATATTAGAAAAAGATATTGAAACAAAAACAAATACAATATTTGTTGATGAAGTTGAATGTCATGAAGGTTTAAGAAAATCAATTTCAATTGAAGATTGGTAAAGTGATTACCAAAAAAAAAAATACGACATAATAATAAAGAAACATTCCAAAATTTATTTCATTCTTCTTTTTTTCTTTGATTTCATTTCTTTATTAATAAAAAAAAAATACTTCCATTATTCAGAGAAATAGTTTTTTTTTTTTTCGTTTTTAATATAAACCATAATAATCGAATTTCATAAGTACCGACGATCATTTTCACCATCGGAAACGGCTCCGATCGCTTTTTGTAGATGATGGAAACACGAGAGTAATTTTTCAATGTTTTTTTTTGAGTTATAATTCATCATCATCAGGTTAACAGCACTGTTTGCATTGAAAAACAATAAATAGTACTATGTTTATTTTTGTTGTATTCGATTTAATTCATTTATGATCGTTGAATTCTACATGGTGGTTCAAAAGAAAATTTACTTTTTTTTTGTAATCTCTTCTCTTAGAATTCAGTTGCTAATCGAATTCTTTGGTCTAGCTATAGAATAAGTAATTTACTAAATATGAAAAATATTTCGATTTAAAAAGAATATATTTTATTTTCATACAATTATTTTAGTTTAATGCTAGTTGCTGTTTTATACTTCTCTATTATACTGTATCTTGTTTTGGATTACCAGACAAAAATTTATCATTGAGATGCTTTATCTATGGCATATAATTGATCGTAATTAAAACTAATTCAAGTGATGAAAGAATAGAATTAATACGATATATTGCTTTATGAAAAAATACACATTCCTGCTATTGTACAGATATTATTATTAATCTTAGTCAAAAACTGAATATATTAACCTGTCAATGTCTAGAAATATAGTTTGACAATTTTAGATTATCATACTGTTTCGTTACAAAAAAAAAAAAGAATTCATTCAAAAAATAAATATTATAATTTCAGGAATAATATTTTCTAGAAGTGTAAGTTGTTCTTTTTTTTTGAACCACTTTGTATGTAAACATTCTACGTATGTTTTCTATTTTTTTTTTCAAATATTTTATTTTATAAATAGTATTCATATATAGAGATAAAGATTAAAAAAGAAACATACGTGTATTCTTTAGGCTCATCATACTAATACAAAATGTTAAGAATAATGAGTAGTTATNGTTGTTCTTTTTTTTTGAACCACTCTGTATGTAAACATTCTACGTATGTTTTCTATTTTTTTTTCAAATATTTTATTTTATAAATAGTATTCATATATAGAGATAAAGATTAAAAAAGAAACATACGTGTATTCTTTAGGCTCATCATACTAATACAAAATTTGTCAAGTGAAAAATCTTCAGCACACTATAGATGTTTTTCAAGGATAATCGGACAGAACTTTTTTTTCTATTTTTTACTGGTGCTCTATGTTTTTTCTTTATCTTTGTTGCTATTCGCTAGTTATTTTTCTTAATTTAAAAGTATTATTATTGATTTAGCTAGCAAATAAGTCTGCTTTACATATCTATTATGTTTATAACAGGTCTCAACACACTAAGTTTAGAAACACTGATATTGATTAATTTCATCAGTTCATGCTTTTTATGTTGATCATATGACGACTATGGCAAATCAATGCATAACTACTCATTATTCTTAACATTTTGAATATACTTTTTCTTTATCTGGGAGAAAATCACAAGCTGTGTTATTTAGAACATTACTAATTGTATTTCGGTCATGTAAATTTCGAGAGAGACTTAGGAATGTTCTAGAACAGTTTAAGTCTTGTTTCTAATATTGTCCAAAGTCTTTTTCCGATGCGAAGAAACTTTCGAAAATAAGTCTAATGGCTGATGTTCTCGGTTCTTAGAGAAACGTACACAATAATTATTGGATTTTCTCTTTCTCATCTCCCACTGCTGGGTAAAACATAAGGCGACAACGAGCCTAAAATCCTTGACTTTAAACTTACATTCACTATAGTTTTCGTGGAACTCTATCGTGTAAGTTCTACAAAAATATATGGAGTTCAAAGAGAATACTTCTTTTTCAATCAAATGATTATCATCAACGCTCTTCAATATTTTCATACGTTGATGAACTGTTATTTCGATATGAAGCGAATAAGATAAAAATTTGAATTCGAATAAATTTTCATCTGGCCAAGAAAAAAAAACAATGGATTCTATGATCTATACAAAACGACTTTCTTTTTTTAAAAGTGTATGTCATATCATCAAATAGGTCTTTTTTTATTGTTTAATGAATGAAATATCTCAAGAATAATCAATGTAAACTTCAGTTTAACAAAAAAACGAAGTTAATGGAAAAAAAACAGGAATGAAATGTACCTAAATCCCTGAAAAGCATGCCCTGCAAGTCAACATGCTAAAGTAGACCTTATCAAACAGGCTTCAAATCCGATTAAATAAAGACATCAAATCTGACTGACAAACGATTACTGGAATCTAATTACATATAGTGTTTTTATGTTTACACCTAGATGCCAGATCTCATTGATTCCAGTCAAAATCGACTAAATCAAAAAATTAGAAGACTCTATTTTCGACGTTATAATATTAAAAAATGAACGCATTTTATTGTAAAATATTTTTCGAGTTTCATTCCTTACAATAAAATCCATCTTTTTCTTGACAGTAGAACATGATGGATTACATCGAGTGCGATAACTTCCAAAATCAAAGATCCGACGAGATTCAATATGTTCCCGTATATGTATGTTCATGAAAAAAACGTCAAAAATGGTGAAATTCAAGAAATTTTGAACCTTAATTCAAGTGTTTCATCGATGGACTTCGGAGCTCAGCGTCACATTTGAATGATAAGTCATCCACAATTATTAGAGCTATAACAGTACATATTATCTATAAACGTTCGAGAACTTTTCGTTTATTTGATTCACCTGTCTAGAGATGATTTTGTAAACTTCGGACGCTCTTTCGTAATAGGTAGACGAGATTTTCCAGTTGTAACCAAAACATTCTTTTATTGGTAGTATGAAAGGTTTTTTCAAGTGTCCTACTAATATTTGTAGACACTTTTCTTTCGTAAGAAAGAGAATTCACAAGAAACTTCTGAGATCAAGTATGTGTATTTCCCAAAACAAATAAAAATATTCTGATGTCGATGATTTTTCGATACATATCAGTAAATGCTTTGTATATGTACAATAATATTTAAAACAATCCTGTTAATTAATTAATCTTTTACATAGTTATGCTTCTGATGTGCCGCACTATTAAAGATAAAAACTTTTAGTACTTTCTAAAACTATTCAACATGATTCGTAATTATTTGAAAATTGTATGATTAACGTTCAAACAATGTCTCTTTTCAATTACTTAAATCTTGTAGATGTTATATACAATTCATGATACAATAAAATCTTTCATAGTCAACATCTTAGTATTAGAAAAAGAAATTTGTTTTTAAAAAAGATGTAACCTCCTTCTAGTGAACACTTTTACAAAGTCCGAAGAATGTCTACTATAGAGAGATTATACTGTACTATAGTAGTAATGTGTTACTTGTTCTTATTATAATAAGATTTTTAGAAACCATCAAAAACGAAAAACCTGATCATTATTACAATCGTGCAGAAAATTTTTTGTGTCCAAAACATGCATAACTTTCAAAAATTCACCTCTCAGTCAATATAGAATTAGTCAGCAATGGTATAAACATTAAACGATGTAAATAATTATTTATAAATATAACAAAACAATTGTACGGATAGTTTTGCTAGAATATTTATATCTCAACTATGTTACGTGAATGGCCTTTTTTTTTTGCATTTAGAATTATTAGAGGTTTGCCCATTATACGCAAATACATTATATGTTGATTTATTCTCTACAAGTTATAGAACATATTATAATGGCATTTTCCCTCTTATATTCTCGCACATTATTTATTAGTATATTCCTTTCCTTTGTATGTCATACATATATATATTTTTTCTTTTCTTTCTGTATATTTGTATATTCTATACATTGTTCTTCTTCTCATATACTTTGTGATTAGTGTTATTGAATAAAACTGAACTTATGTTCACAAAATAAACAAAACTTACATTAGCGGCCAGACTGTTTCTTCTTTTCAACTTCGTATATCGATTACATTACTAATCTCTACGGTTTACTTTTATGGCTAAATATACATCAATGATACATTAATTACCAACTATATCTTTGATTCTCGTATTATTATTTGGTAATCATATTGTTATTACATCAACATGAATAATTACAAGGCAACACTTTTTTCTTTGGTCAGTTGAAAATGCAAAATGCAATCTTCTTGAATCGCTTGTTTCATCATGTTCGTTGACTAGTAATGAAATAACGATAAACGATCTAATCGAAATATTAGATGATTATTATGATGATACAAAAAACGTTATGACATCAACGTACAACTTCTACTATGAGAAACTAGGACAAATCTATAAAAAGAATGAGATAATATCTTAAGTGTAAAACGATATACGTAATTATTTTAATCAAATAATGGAAAAAAAAAATGATCATAGAACATTACAAATTATGATTTAGTCTTATTTTATTTCATACTGTTCTGCTCGCTGTTCAGTGTCTACTTTCGATTTTCTTGTTACTTCAAGTCGACCCACAGCAAATGCACCGACAGCTGTAAAAAGAAAAGTAATCATTGTACCTGTAACAAACAAGCTACAACCAACATGATAATAACGAATTACTAATGAACCTGTCACAAGAGATGTGACAAGAAAAACATCAGATATAAAAAGAAGTATCAATGAAATGTAAAGTATACCAAAAGAAATACAACCACAGCTTAATGTTAATGTTAAACCAATCGATATTGCTAAGATAATAATACCAGCAATAGCTATTCCACCTGAAGCACGTAATCGTGCTAAATCTTCATTTGATATATAAGCAATAGGCGCATGAAGGTATTGATATAATTTGGAACTATTTATCGGATTGATACATCCAAGACTTGTTCCATTCTGACATCCAATCGGTATAACTTCATTGCATAAGTACGAAGAGTAACTAACACATGTAAGTGTTGTCGAAGCTTGATCTTCATATAAATGACATGTAGAAAAGTAATTAGCTGTTGCCACAATTGATTTTGTATCCATATTATAACCAACATACCAAGATGGAAGACCTAAACCAACACATAAGAGAATAAGAGCAACGAATCCAACAATGCTAGCAGCTCGCAAAATATATTTGTCTTTTTCATGTTGTTGGTCAAAAGAGTAACAACACATGGCTCAATTCAGAAATCTTTTGTGTTTGTAATGAATTATAAAAATTTACAAGTTGAATGAAAAATTGAAAAATTCAAGTTTAATAATTTGGTTTTTTCCGAGGAAAGAAAAGAGGAATAGTAGTTGGAAAAAAAAAAGAACAAAAAGAAAAGTATCCACTTCATTTTTATTTATAAGTACAATGTACATTTTCTTTAGCAACGAATGACTTATTATTTTCGATGATTGCTCTCTTACGTTCTCTCTTATATGTGTACTGAATTTTTATTAACTAAAAAAAAACAATACAACAATCGTTTGTTGATACTCATAATGAGATATTTCCAACAAGTCTAAGCAACAAAAATAAATTTGTAATCAATTCGTTCGAAATAGAGACATAAATGATCTATAAACAATTTTTCATCAAATAAATTGATCGTAGTTATGATATAATATGTGTAGAATGTGCATGGTGGTGGTGACTTTTTCTTCTTCCACACCCAAATGTCACATCTGTTTTTTTCTTCCAACAATCATCTTGAATTTAATTCGTTATGATGCAAGTATCAGATTCAAAAGAATTGGAATAATAGACCTATCCAGAATAGTTCTGTTAGAATCTGTTTAAATTAGACTATATTTTCTGTTGAATTTCATATCTTCTGTTGGTTTCTAACTCCAAGATTCAGCTGAATTCGATATAGTCCGATTGTCAAATTCAAGAGGATTGAATTGTATTTCTTTCGACATAATCTGGTTTGGCATTTGATAACAAGAAATTCGATAAACAAAAAAGATCGGATTATGAAGGAAGATATCAACTTCTAGGACAATTCAATCGTTTTTGGTAGCGCATCCATAGACTGAATCAAATCATTTCAAGGACGGTGTAGGTGTGCAGTAGTGTCTTCTCTTTTCCCACACCCATTATCATTTTATACAATATGGGAAGAGATATTAACTGCTAATCATTGGAAAATAATGATGTTCAACTGACAAATGGTTACTCTTGCAATAAATAAACTTATTATTTATAAAATAAAGTTTTTATATTAATTGATAAAATTGAGATTTTTTGTAATTTATTTCATAAAGAAAAATTTCTTGAATTAATTTTTTACATTACATATTCAAAATGAAGACAAGAGACAGTTTCAATTGATGACTTGAGATATTGAGTTTTTTCATTTCTAGTCTTAAAGAAATATATAAAAATCTTTTGAGATACAATCTTTTGCTATAGAATGTAATCGAAAGATTCAATTGCAACATATTTAACAAAATAGACAATGTAATTATGATTCACGTGATAAGTTTGATTAATCTTTCACATTTGTTCTCTAACAATTTTCACGTTCAAAAAGCAAGTTTTTCCATTAATAATAACAGTATTGACTGTTGAAGGGAAAAAAGGAGCAGAAAGCAAATATTGTCTTTAATGAAGTCAAATATTGAGTAGAATTAGGGATGCAACAGGTATCACGGTCTTAGGTAGAGCGCTGCACTGGCGACGATTGGGGTGAGATCTATTTCAAGAAAAGAACTGAATTTTATGAAATATGACTAAATCGAAAGAACTAAGCCTTTCTCGACTGAAAAAAATCGAAATCAATTCAAGATCACCATAGTTTCATCATACATAAGACCAGTGCATCGTTATCATTGTCTTACATGTTTTATAAATTTTTTTTATACTTTCATTCAAAACTAAAAAAAAACCACACATAAAATATCACGATACATTGCTACGTCAATAAATAAAAAAAATCATTATTACTGTCTTTTAGTAATTCTTGCTAATAAACCATATTTTGGTCTCATAGTAATTCGAATTTCAGGAATTATTTTTTGTCCTGGTTCTAATTCAAAATGACATCGTTGTACAAGCATTGCTAATATAACTTTAGCTTCTAATAATGCAAAATTTTGACCAATACAATTTCGTGGTCCAGCAGCAAATGGTAAATAACAAAATGGATGAGTTAATTTTGGTTTCAAGTCAGTTATTGGATCACGTAACCAACGTGTATAATCGAATTCATTTGGTCGTGACCAATATTCAGATCGACGATGAACTGCATATGCATTAATAAGAATCGTAGTTCCAACTGGAATACGTAATGGATGATTCGTTGTACGTCCAATTGTTTGTTCATTGATACATTGTCGAATAAAAAATGGTGCCGGAGGATATAAACGAAGTGTTTCTTGTAGAACAGCTTCAATGATTTGTAAATCATTGAGATGTTCATAAGTTGGAATCATTCCATTTGGTAATATTCGATCAACTTCATTTTGACAAGCTTGATATACAGAAGGATTTTTCATTAATTCATACATAACCCATGCTATTAAATTACTTGTTGTTTCATGACCCGCTAGTATAAATGTCAATGTTTGATCTTTTATTTCTTCATTTGTAAATGATTGCCCTTGAGTATCAACAGCAGAAATTAATAAATCAAGAATATCTGCACCTGCACATAGACTTTGTGATCGTCCTTGTCTTCTATCGGTTATAATTTGATCAACAAAATTATTTAATTTTCGAGTACCTTCATCAACAATATTCTTTCGCCAAAAAGGTAATTGTGATATAATAGGAATTAATATAATCATTCGTGAAGCACGATACGCAACAGCTGCTAATACTTCAGTAAATGCATGAGCAATAATATTTTGTGCATTTGAAATTGTTTCAAAACTTCTACCAAATGCACTCGAAGCAATTATAGATAATGTTAAATTATTAAATACTGTTGCTAAATTAATTGTTGATGATGATTCAAGAAGTATATCAATTGCTTTTGCTGTTTGATGTGTCATAATAGAAACCATGGATTGAAGATTATTAAAATGAAATGCTGGATTAAGCATTTTTCGTGCTCGTTCATGTTCTATTCCGTTACTAACTAATAGATTATGAATACCAGTAAGTGGTTTAAGACGAAAACTAAGATCAGCTGGTTTAATATAATTTTGAGCAGATGTTCTACCAAGAACATCAGCTATTAAATCAGGTTCTTGTATAGCAAGACGTGTATATGGACCAAGAAAAAATAAATAGACTAATCCATGTTTTTCAGTTAATTTTTGATGATATTCTAATAATCGACCTTCTTCACGATGACGACGCAATTCTGGTAATTGACCTATAATGGGTATAAAAGGTTCAGTTCGTACACCTTGACTTCGAAGTATATCATAGATATATTTCGTTAGACGAATAAATTTCCAGTATACAATTATAAGAAAAAAGATAATTAAAATAAAAAATGTATAAAGTAACAATTGCAATACCATTGAATTTAGGAAAAGTAATGCGTCAATTTTTTGCAGAAAGTTTTTTTTTAATATATATCAGTTATTTTATCGGATAAGTCAACATCGAATAAAAAAATGCATCATTATTTTATTATCAAAAATTAACTGAAAAACATGGATTAGTCTATTTATTTTTTCTTGGTCCATATAAACGTCTTNTACCATTGAATTTAGGAAAAGTAATGCGTCAATTTTTTGCAGAAAGTTTTTTTTTAATATATATATATATATATATCAGTTATTTTATCGGATAAGTCAACATCGAATAAAAAACAGCATCATTATTTTATTATCAAAAACTCTTACGGTAGCGCCTCTATATTGTATGCACCCATTTTTTTAACGTATTGTTCTTGCGTCTGATCGTGCGATAGTTGCATTTTCGAGGGTTGTTTGTAGTAGATAAAGTTGTACTATTTTTTCTTTATTAAAAATAGTGGTTTTCAATTATTAGTAATCCTTTAGTCAATTAAAAATATTTTTAAAAATTATTTCCTTCCATCTTCCTAACGCGCACGAGCCATGACTCATTTGAAAACTGATAGGCTGTATTAGAAGACTCGTCAATAGTGGGTCGGAATGATGAATATGCTTTTTTTTCCTTAGAAAATCAATAGAATTGATCTCCTTGTTGTTTCTTATTGAAAT